CAGTGAGTACCAATCATTCCCTCCCCAGGAGACGTCTCATTTTGATTTGTTCTTCGGACAGAAAATATGCTGGCACACCCGGAGCTTCCGCCCGGCTTGATTGAACCGTGTCTTGATGTACTCAAAGAGATCTCACCATCAGAACGCGAACTCATCCGAGTTATCGTAGAAATTGTTGTGGATTTGCGCGATGATGATGACAATGAAATGGCCGAAGTGAGTGATATCGGCTTATCCTTGGATTTGCACACCCAACATCCGCACAGGCCGATATTAGCCGGAGCGATACCACCCTAACCACCATCCGTAAGGAGGGGTCAATGCGCCGTACGCGTAACTTTGAATCGATGACATTGGAAGAAAAGCGAGAGGCTGACCTAACTGACATGAGGTGTTTGACTCTCTGTATTGGAATGCTGGAGCGCGTTCACGGGGTAAGATCCGTCTTACTCTAGAGGCTTTCTACTCATTGTGAGACGTAGACCTTTGAGGATAATTCTACGCTAGAAGGAATGCTGGCTGATCTTATCATTCCTGCCGTCAAGCGGAAAGAATTGCCAATGAGGGAAAAAGGCCTCGTCAGTCTTGGACTGTGTTGTCTCATTGCCAAGGTTTTTACGTTTCCTCTTCCTTCACTGTGCGCCCTTTTGATAAATGGGAAACAGAACATGGCGTTGAGCTCGTTCCAGCTCTTTCTCAGCCAGATACAAAATGCCCCCGAAGAGCTTAGGCTGAAGGTATTGCAGGTTGTGTTCGATCTGCTTGTTATGTATGAGTATGAATTTTTAAGTCGCTCAGAGGAAGTGGTAAGTATTATTACGGAGAACTGTGCGTTAATATCTCGCTGACACCAGTTGTCATACTCAGGCCGAACAAATTGTCACGTTCCTCGTCCAGACACTTGAAGTCGAAGAATCTAATGCTGTCCAGGCAGTTTTATGCATTGGAATATGCAAATTGCTTCTAGCCGGTTTAGTAAAGGACCCGAAGGTGCGTGATTTGCAGATTCTTGCGAGGACTGCTATGATGCTAGTTATTAGGTTCTTACCACCCTTGTACTAACTTATATATCCCCCTCCACATCCGACAACCCTGAACTGAGACAATGTCTCTCGTATTTCTTTCCTGTCTATTGTTATTCCTCTTTAGGAAATCAGGCTAGGATGCAATCAGTAAGTCATTTTTTGAACCTGGAAATTGCCATTCATGGGTTGCAGATCTTCATGGACGCATTCAACCTTGCTTCCCAGCTGCACGGTGAACTAGAAGAGGACCAGGAAATGATCTCGATACAACAATTTTCTTTGTTGCTCATGGATTGGATCAACCCCGAGAAATCGGTCGACGTGTCAGTCTATGATACACCTCTCAAGCCCTTCTCATGGCTGAGTTACTTTCCCAGAATGCCTGAACTGACGCCTAACAAGAACTTTCACGCACATTTGGCGGTTGATATACTGCTTGCACTGTATGATGAAGACAAGGACGGTGAGCTGGCCCCTTCCTGCCTCCAATGAAACTGTCTGTTCACACCTACTAGATAATGAAAGGAAGGTTCTCTGTCAGCTGCTCAGTCAGTTAAACATAACCCCCGAATTGGATCCTCGGACGATTCTAAAATTGAGTGTACTCCTGGAGCATCTCAATAATGTACGTTTGCGCTCAACAAATCACGCACCTATTCTAACGCGACCCTCATCAGCAATGCCCTCTGAACAAAGTTACTCTGGAAAAGATCGTGGAACGTTTCAGAACTCGTATCTCCAATCTTTTCTCCAAAGATTTGGAACAGATCGATGAGCAAGAACACATGGACGACGACTTCCGTGACCTGTACCAATATATCGGGGTTGCAGTACCTGCGGCGGGAAACGCAAGGCCTGCGCGGTTTGAGCGGTGCGCAGTTGCATGATGGATGTGTGAACTGACTGTTACTGATACAAATCTGCTTCCCAGACGAGCACCTGACGAGCGGCCACAGTTGGACTCAGGAGAAGATTCCCCAAGGTCTGTGCTTTTGGTAAGTAGGCGTCTTCGACGGCTGATGGTATGAACTTTAGTTCGCCAAATCATCACCGACGTCAGGTCAAGGGGAAAAGAAAAACAAAGTTCACCGTGCCTGCAACCCATGAGTGCGGTGCCATTCATATCGTTGAGTTAGAGGGCTGACTTCCATTGCTCTCAGGTCGGATGACGACGCGGACTTTGCGTCCATAGAGGCGGCGGTAACACCAATGAAACCGTCAAAAAAGTAAGTGCCTGAACTTCTGAATTAGGTGATTGATTATTGAATGCCTGGCCTCAAGGCGCGCTCACACGCCTTCGAAACATCCGGCAATGACATCGCCAACTCGCAAGAAGCGTATTGGTGCAAAGCCGTAAGATCGTGATCTTTATTAAAGCTTACCAGATGTTGAATGCTGTTGGTTGTAGGGCTTCCGAAGATCGTATTCAGACTGCCAGGACACCCTCGCCTCTCCCTAAGAGACGCAGCACTAGGCAGACACCTAAGGCCAAGACCTATGTGGAAGAGGATTCTGACGAAGAGGAAGAGGATCAGGTAGATGAGGAGATAGATGAACAAGAAGATGAGGAGGAGGCGGAGGTGGAGGAGGCGCTTGTTGCCGATGTTTCACTGCCTCCTGTATCGGATGGGGACGATGAAGTAGCAGAGTCAGGGAGCGATGATTAATGATGAGCGGAATCGGGACAATTAATGCCCGACTTACATAGAGCTTAGTGTGTTGTATTTTTATTGAGGCTGTCTTGTTCTCAGGCGTTTTTATTGTTAATGCTGTCTGTACTTTACTTCCTGTAAAAGTGCGACGAAATATTATTTGTCAATGACATCTCAGTGCATGGATGCAAATTTACGTCCTTAAGGGGGGTCTCAGGAGGCAGCATGAACCACGGCGCCTTCTATTATGAAAATTTGAAATTGTAGTATTTAATTATTCGCGTCGACATGTAAGTGATTGCATACAAAGTCGCACGACACATATCATACACTACGGAAGGGGATATTTTACATCATGTCACAAAGGGTAAGGGATATGAACAGCGAAGAGCGTTGGCTCGGGAAGAAGAAAGTCCGTCCGTGAATGTCTAAAGGGCCGAAATCGATAGCGACATAAAAACAACAAAAAGTGACGATGATAATGAAAGGGTTATAATAGTGCCGTAGGAAAGAAAGTGGTATGCTCGCAACCATGATAATAAGGTATAGAAAAGGAAGGAAATCCACACCGGAAAAATGAATGAACAGTAGATACCAAGGACCTATTGTCGGATTTTCGTATAAGCAGGCGGTAGCTCGATGGTCTCTGGCTCTTCCTCCTCTCTTGCCATTGGGGGACCACTAGGACCCGCATCATCGTGTTGAATAATATTAACAGGCCGTAGCGACCTGAACCCACCCTTCCTCGCTCCACCCAAACTCGTCGTCGAACCAGGAATGTCAGGTGTCCCGCTCCTGCTTGATAAGACTTGGCTTATAGGCCGTCCATCGGCACTCAGCCTCCCATCTTCGGACGCCACAGTCGGATCCGGAACGATAAACGGTTCCGGTTCGTAGTACTGCGGTAACTCTGCAGCAGTTGGCGACCGTTCATCGCCATCATCCTCGTGTAGTAAATCCACGGTCTTTTCCTTTTCTTGTTTTTGCCGATGTCGGCGCCGGAGAAACCAGAGCAGGAGAAGAAGGGCAACGACACCCACGACACCGCCTATGACGCCACCTACAATGGCACCCGTGTTGTTTCCATTGCTACTGTTGCTGCCTGTCCCTCCGCTGCTTGTGCCCGTGGGGTAGCTTCCACCGGCAGGGGTGCCGGGTGTCGAACTTGGACTCTCCGAATTAAGACAGGTGCTGTTATTCGAGATGCCGCTGCTGACGGTAAAGAGTGCACTCCCCGCTGTACCGTTGCCTCGATCGTCACCGCCGACCAGCAGGAGAGTTGTTCCTCCCCGAATAGAAGGCGTCCATGAAAACCCCGTTCCCTGGCTGGTAACATTGGTTATAGAGGCTTCCGGGACAGTGAAGGACTCTCCACCGGGGATGACGCCAAGGAAATTGGGCGTTCTGTTGGGAGGGTTGGAATATAGAGAGCACGATATACTACTCGACGCACCCTTGAACGCCCGCGGGGTCCCACCATATGCGCGTTTGTTGGCACTGTACTATTTGATTTGATGGTTCAATGGAATAGACAAACTCTGGCGAGACTTCCTTGGAAGCGTCGAAACAAGACGTGTCGGAGGAAGATGTGACTTGTGCAGCTACACTTGTACCGCCGGACCCAAATCCTGTCGCATCACTGACCTAGAACAGCATTAGCGTGAAACCGGAACCCATTCTTCCCCAAACGCGGCGACAGAAGGGCGCGCAGTGATTCAACGCAAGCCTTCTGCCTCCGGGAACAGCAGAGAACCCAAAACTTACCACTGCAACAAATTGTGAATTCTCGGGATAACTGAGCTGGAAGGTGACTTCTGTCGCCGAGTCTGAAGAAAACTTCTGGTCCAGTATCCGCCGCACTTCAGTGTTGTTTGCAAACGGTGTTGATCCAAAGGGAACGATAAGGATACGATACGGCCCTTTGCCGTCACTGCCAGAGATGCTGACGGTGAGGTTTTGGCATTGAGTTGGTGTCGAAGTAAAACGCCATGAGTACGCTGTCGCCGATGCCGGGAACTCTAAAAGTAGAAGGAATAACGATAGGAAGGGGCCAAGCATGGCAAGTTGCACCGTTAGGGCGAGGTGTTGTCGCTATGAGGGGCGACGAGACGCAATCGTGGCGAAAGTAAGTGGTCGTTGGAAAGGCTCCACCGGCCATTTCATTCCGGATGCTATGTTGTCACGCCGTCACATCATTGATCGATCGGCTACTTGTCACGCGATCAACACAAGCGCCACGCATACTATCCTTCGCCTCCGTCCCCCTTCCTTTCAAAATACCGCTCTGCTCGACATGCAGCAAAAAATATTTAAAACGAAATAATCCGACTTGCCTGGTTCGAACAGGCGACACCCAGATGTCATTATCCAATTACAGTCTGATGCTCTTCCAACTGAGCTAAAGTCGGCTATACGTATTCGACTTATGTATTATATACATCCATAATATTTCTGTATCTGCTCACACCACAAACCATTCTACCGAAACCCCGTTCTTGTTGCTAGGAGGATGGCACGTCGAATGATCTTCGACAAGCGTACATCAGTATGAGTAGTTAATGTTGCAACTACTTTTTACAACCAGCCATCGAGGTCAGTAAGAAGAGTGTATGAGCGGAAATGTCAATTAATCCAATCTTCCAGTCCGTCTCTTTTCATGAACCGGAGCACACATCTCCCTGAGGCTCCCTCCGACTGCATTGATCATGCATGCAGAGCATTCAAAGGACATTACACCCCTTCCATCTAATCCACTCCTGGACAGAAGTAACCTCTTGTGATCTAAATGCAAGACTCGCAACGGATCCGCAAGCTTTTAGGTGTATTCTGGATTGAAGATAACTACTTATTGCCTTTCGCCACTTGTGCATCATGCGGCGTCATCGCCCTGCCGTCGTTACGCCACATGAATTCTAGTAACCACGACAGAAGCGATTTACTCACCTGCTGTACTCGCCTATATTTGATTACAGGCAACCGTCGAATAGGATACCGGTTTCCTTCCTGCTTCATATGCCAATCAGAATATACGGCATCGAGATAGCTGTTCTGCCCGGGTGTATAGTCATATCGCTTGAGCATACGCTCATTGACCTCTGCTACCGCGTCGAGATTCTGGGAAATAAGAAATCCCCGCATCAGGGAGACGTACATGACAAAGGAAGGTACGGGCAGGGCATTGGGGATAGACGGTGGTATTGGTCGGGTGTGTTCAATAGACACTGGTGGTTCTTCGGAAGGCATTGCACCAGTCTCCGCCTCTTGTATTTCCTTCTCAGAGATGGGCACTTCAATGTCCTCGCTATCACCCTGTTGGTCAAAGGCCGTCTCCAATCGGCCCAGAAGGAAGAGGGCTCTCTTGGCATTACCCGTAGATGCGTAATAACCTGCGAGCTCGGTGAAGTGATATGTCGTGGGTTGGATCCCCAGCTTGAGCATGTCTGCTAGAATACTGGCACCTCGTTCTACACCGGATGAGCGCATAAGCTTGCCCATGAAAGGCGTAAACGCGGCAGCGCAGACGCTATTAATTCCGGGAGGAGTCTGAAGCGCTTCCACACCACTAAAAGAGGCTAAAGTCTCTGATAGACGGTCCGAGTATTCTCCACAAGCGGTTGCGATAAGCTTTTGATACAGGACTTCAACTTTAACCGAGGTTGATGTCGTGACGACAAGGGAGTGCCAGACGAGAGCAGTATGGTAAGCCGTTGGCCACAGCTTGCTGCGGTGTGCCAAAGGCACAGACGCAAGAACACCCTGCTGCACCTTCAAGCGGGCTATTACGTCGGCTCGAGGTACGCCTGTGATGTAAAAATTGTCGACAAATGTTTGGAGGACGAGATGGTGTTGGTTCTGTCGGTAGTAGGAGATCATCTGTGTGAAAACAAAGACAGCGGTGGCCACGGGACTGGAACGAAGGGCCTTCTGCCGGAGGAGATCAATGGCGCGCGAACGTCCCGAGTCGACGTAGGCATTGAAAAAGTTTATCAAAGTGGACGGATGAGGAGGAGTATGACCGGATGAGAATGACGTTCTGATAGAACGCAGAGTCTGGGCCAGAGACTCTGACCGCTCATCGTAAGGGAGTGTGTGAGTTTGGGAAGTGAACTGCGAAGTGATCGAAGATTGGGCATAGTCTTGTAGAAGAGAGTCATCTCGTCCAAGCTGCTGGGCACGCATAGCCCTCAAGTACCGAAGGAGAGGGAGATACTTGGCGTCGCCGGCTTTGACAAGAAAGTTGTTGAGAACATCACAAGTATAAGCCGACAAAAAGTATGTCTTTCTCTTGGGAGGTAACATATCTATGGCTGCATCTATCCGACCGGCGTGAGCCAAGGACCGGATAGCTGAACCGCGCATAACTGATTGGAATTTAGTCCAGGCAGAGCCGGCAGACCGTCTATGATACTGTTTCAGATACCGCTGGTGATGCTCTTCGAATCGCAAGTAAAACTGCTTGCTAACATCGGGGCTTGCGAAACGCATAATGCTTGGAATGACTTGATTGCCGATGAGATCGGCATACCCTTTTTCCGAGCATATAAGGGCGAACTGGATGATCAAGGCCATATTTGTCAGAGGCGCATGAAGTATCAGCTTTCGAATGTCCGTGAACTCCTCAACGGGTTGGTCATGGCATAGAGGAACGAGGGAAAACCACGCCGTAAAATCTTCAAGACTTTCCACAGCGGTGGCCGAATGCTGCAAAGCGTTCTTGGCGGCGGCCTGGTAAATTGGCGAAAAAGGAATATGGGTATGGCATTCGCGAAGCTCGAGTAAAAATTGTTTTGCCTCGTCGTATTTCCGATCGGCCACTAGCTCCACTAAGTGGTCACCAAGGTCTTTGTGAGAGATGCCGATTGAGGTTTGGGCTACGTTAGCATAGTCGGGGTGATCTTCCTCCTCGAAGATAAGAGAGCCGTGCGCCGATTCCGGGAGAACGATGGGGAGAAGCGCCTGCTGGAGATTTTTGATGAACATGCTCTTGCGATGGTGAAACCGCGAAGAAACAAATTCCATAGCAGGAATGACCTCTTCCTTGACCAATGTCGTGTAACCTTTTTTCGCAAGGACTACGCCGAAGTGATATATCAAAGTCACCGTTTTTGAAGGATCCTTCCAAAGATAATCACGTATCTCTCGGAATGGATTTGGAGGAGAATTGGAGGCGTCGGGGCACAGCTCGAGCCAGACTGTGAAAGGCGTAAGGTCGTCTCCAATTCGAAGAGACTGTAGCGCAGCTAAAGCCGCTTTCTCGAAAATGGGATTCAGAGATATCTTTGCCCCGTTGTCAACCATCTCGACGCGAATACGGTTGGCAAGCTCCCAATCGCCATTACGAACGAGGTCGATCAGGACCCGCGCTGGCGCCCGTGTCCGTGGAGGCGACCGCAGCTCTGCAGACACAGCTGAATAGTCTTTCATCTCCCGTTCTTCGAAAACTTTACGATCAGGTGGCTCCGAGGGATAGGGTTCATCTGACATTTCTACGCCATCCTGACGCTGCCGAGAATAGGCGATGGTCCGGGATACAACATTCCAGTTGAGGCGCCCCAAAGATGCCCATGGAATACGGGCTAAGATCCGCGTAGATGACATGCATGTGTACGACAAATACTGGTTGTTGAATGGTGTAGCTGGAAAGTCCAGACACCGACGATATGTTGCTCACCAACTGTACGCCTGCATGTAGTCAGAAAGAGGAGTGAAAAATACTGATTAACTACCTTCAGCCTTCTGCTCCACCGTCAATACAGAAGAAGCAATAGGTTCGTGAGCGTTGTCGTCGTCTGCTGATAAATGTCGGGGAGAAATTTATGTGATGTCGTCACGTCATGTGATCCCGCCCAAATACCGTCACTAAGTGTGACGTTTCTTGGACTGTTCCATCCGACCTTCAACCACCAACACTACTGGTTCCTTATCTTGCTGCTTGCTGGACGAGCCGCTTGTGTCCTAGCTACATCTCTTCCCTCTCTCTTCTGCAGCCATGGCGTTTCCAGTATCTTCAAGTCCACCTCGCGCGCCTCCTGTCATGTATAAAGCACCGCTAGGAACTCGTTGGGAAAAGGAGAAGGCTGCAGCTGGCGGCGCTGAAGCGTTCGAATACGCTACAGATCCGAAGTGTATAGGACCTTGGATTATAGGCGAGTGCGTCGGGAAAGGCGCTTCTGGTCGCGTCAAGATCGCCAAGCACAAACGAACTGGACAGCTCGCTGCCGTCAAAATCCTCCCGCTTGCCCCGCTGGTCAACTCTCGTGCCTCTCTTGCTACCCAACAAGCTAAAACAGAGAAACAACGCCTAGGAATCGACCGAGAAATTACGATGATGAAGCTCATGAACCATCCCAACATTCTACGCATCTATGACGTCTACGAAGGCACTAGGGAGCTCTTTCTCATTCTTGAGTACGTAGAAGGCGGAGAGCTTTTCGATTTCCTGGTCAACAAAGGACGCTTGGACCCCTCTGAGGCTCTGACCATTTTCCTGCAAATCATCTATGGTCTCAACTACGCGCATACATTCTCTATCATCCACCGCGATCTCAAACCCGAGAACATTCTAATTGCTTCTTTCAATCCGCCTCTCGTCAAGATAGCTGATTGGGGTATGGCAGCCTTCGCTCCCCCTTCTCTTCATCTGGAGACAAGCTGCGGCTCTCCTCACTACGCTAGTCCCGAAATCGTCAACGGACACAGGTACCAAGGAACTGCGACGGACATCTGGAGCTGCGGTATTGTTCTCTTTGCTTTGCTCTCAGGCCGACTACCATTCGATGACAAGGACGTCGGGATTCTACTGAGCAAGGTGAAGAGCGGCGTTTTTGACATGCCCCAGTCACTGGATCCATTGGCAAAAAACCTTCTATCTCGTATGTTGGTTGTTGATGTTCAACAGCGAATCACGGTGAGACAATTAAACATGATATGCTCGTGTTTACTGAACATCTGAACAGATCCCGGAGATTCTTGTGCATCCTTGGGTAACCTCTTCCGCCGCTGCATTGGTCAGCAAGATTCCTCCGAATCCCTCGGTCCCCCCTTCACCGGAAGTCCTCGCACGCCCTATTCTCCATCCTTCGTTGATCGATGCGGACCTATTCTCCTCGCTTCGTATCATCTGGGGCAAATACACAGATCGGGAAGGCGAGTCGATTAAATGGGACCTGTGCTCTCCCGCAGGTCAAGGGGTACATGCAAAAGCATTCTATTTTCTTCTTGGCAAATATCGCGAGGAAACATCCAAGCTCGATGATCCCAAACTCTCCGACTCAGCAGTCGCTGAGGTCTCACTCGGTAGTATGAGTTTCAACCTTGGTTGGGAACTTGATACAAAGATCGGAACAGGTCTTTTGAAGAGATATGACGGTAGTAATCGAGACCCATTTCCTATCCAAAGTCGATCCCG